CCGGTATGGACTTACGGATTGGAATTGTATGGTTCAGCCAAAAATTCCAACATCGACCGTATACAAACTGCCCAGTCCTTAATACTACGAAAAATACTAGATGACCCATTTTATCGAACCTAACTGCACATACAGATTTACATATCCCTTTCGTACATAATGAAATCCGTTCTCGTTACCGTAAATTTCATAAAAATCTCCCAACTGACGTAAACCAGCACATCAGAAACCTAGCTTTCCGACGAATCCCTTCAAACCCTCCACGCCGACTGAAGGGAAAATGGCCGCGAGATCTCCTAGGAAGTGATGGTGCTCATAGTGAAAGTGATAATGACACAAGTATCAATTGAACAGGCATTATTTTAGTAACATTGAAGTAACACCAAGGGTGTTTTCTCCACTCTTGGTTTTAATTTTTTATATATTACCTTAATCACTGTTACTTTTTCCCTACTTGAAGGTAGTTATAATGTACTTCAAACTATAAAAAAAGATAAAATACTGTATCGTCCGCGTGGTGATGATGGTATTGGGGAGGTCACGTAAGTCAGCCACGTGATAATCAGGTCAGTATAGATGATATAAAGTATGAGACCACGAATGATCCCTTGTGGGACGCCGGGATGTGTCTGAATTCCGAGAACTCATCGCCGCACCTCACTTTGAAGTATCGGCTAAATAGGATTAACACCACAAGGAGTGGGTAACAAACGATTAAGTTTATAAAGTTACTTATAACATACATTACATTTTTTCCTCGACACGTAATTTCCATTAGTAATAACAATCTAGCACGTGTTCACTTTGTTTTACCTACATTATTATTAATAAAAATCTTTCATTAAAAGCAGTTATCCTATGTACTTCTGAGATACATAATCCTTATTAATTTATGGTAATAAATAATATCCATTCAATAATTATTTCATTTGTATAACGAAAATGAATATTACTAAATTTTATGTTTAAAAAAGTTGGTAATGAGATGACTGTAATGCCGCTTTATGATAGTTACAAATTAAATGGCTACTTTAAAATTTCTGACACAAACTGACCGTTAATGAATCTGAATTCGTGGTGATTATTTTTTCTAGTATCGGGCTCATTATTTCCTTCACAGGTTAATGTCAATTAATTACAGCGCGGACGTGAGAATATAGTGATGGGGGATTTCGCTTTCCTCTTTACACCTTGAAATGACGGCGTTCATTACCAGCCAACGTATTGATGAATGAACTATCGGTTTAAATGTTATATGCAAATTAATTAATCGTCGTATGATTCTGACCTATATATATTCAGGGGGTTAATAATTGAAAGCATCTGCGTCGGTGAAATGACGAAACAGTGAACAAAGGCAGCCAAAACGTGCGAACTAAGAATGCCAGGATTCATTATTCATTAAAGGATTTTGGCCAAGCCTTGTCTACACATTGAAAATTATTTAAAAGACAAAGAACAGATTAAATTGTTTTGGTCTTTTAACAAAATATAGAATTAAAATACAAATAATTTATAAGTTTTTAAATAATATATTATATTGTTTTGTGCGTTTTTAATGGAGAAACTTAACGTTGTGGTTTTTAAGGTAACTGAAACGATAAAGTATTGGAATTTCCCTAGTTATTTAACTCTGTGGTAGTCTTTCTCGTTATGGATTGACAAAAGAAGCTCACTTGCTTGAATTGACTTATTACAACTAATAATATCACATCGACAGCCCTCGGAAGGGGGATTCGAGCGTAAAAAAAAGAAAATCAACCGCAAAAACAGTCCGACCGTAAAGTCAACCGGGAAAAAAGCGAGTCGGTTCATCTAAAAAGAAAAGGGCTCGGCGAATGTTGGCGAGCCGGCCGGGACCCTCTCACAGCTCTTCTCCTGCCCTTCCCGCCTCGAAGAAAAGGGGCGATCCACTTTTCTTTTTTCTTCTTCTTCTCAGGAATTCCATATTATCTGAGGCCGCGCCTAGACGGGATCATAAATTTTTGATGGCTTTAAAAATATAGGCTGAGATATCGATCCAATTTAACGGGCGTAAAAAGGATGAACTGTTTACCGTAGCAACTTTGTGAGGATGAATAATAAAATATCTATACATCATTACAGGCCTAACAACAAAACGATGAATTTATATTTATTCAAAGAGTCAATCCACTAAATTTATTAACTTTTCCATCCATTTTCCGTAGCGGAAACTTGCGGACTTACCGTAGTATGAACTATTTCAAAAGTCATATTGTTAAAGATCTTCCATTTTGTTATTCATGACCTACTTTAATATCAAACATGATCATTTCATAAAACTGTATAACGGCGGTATGTTTTTATAGATTTCATGCTTCAATGATACGGCTACTTAAAATACCGTAAATACCTTAATGAAACTAACCAATCTATAAAATTGAAGATATGCCTGATTAATTCAAGAACAAATACAGAACTAATACATTTTAAAAGTTAGTCATTTGTGAAACATCAATAAACCAACACTTGCAGTCATAACTTTTCTAAATCGCCATCATCAATAAACTATTCGTTTCCTTCCTGACAAACACCCTGGACAATACTTGTATGCATTTTTAAAACTACAGAAACCTTGGAAACATGTGACATGTAAACATACATATAATGATCGAATTCGTAATTCCACTGGTTATTATAAAATAGTATAAACCGAGTGTCTCAAAAGCAATAAAAAACGTATTTTCTGGTTTTGGCTTAATTATAAATATGTATATTTAGGCCTTTTTTTTTATGTGTTTTTAAAGAAAATTCTTATACAAACCTATCGTTTCGGCAATGATGAGCTATTGTCAAAGTATGTACAGTTTTTACTGAAAAATTTTTGAGAAAAAAATACAGGATTTCCAGTGTAACTGACAATTTTTGAAAAAAAAAACCGTGGGCTAAATTCAAACCGACATAAAACAAACCATCTATAATATTAAAATATAAGGACAATAAAAAAGAAAAATATTGCTTTTAATCCCGTATTCTTTGTTCCAGCTTGGTGGCTTATTTTGAAGATCTTTTTACAGGTGTTTTTAAGGAATATATAACCATTCGGCATATTATTTTATTGAAACGATATCGATCTGCACTAGACTCTCCTCTTCTGTTTCGTTTCATTTTTGGAAGCGCATATGATGTGCAAAATGGTTCTATTTTTCTGAACAACATCTTTAAAAATGCCTTGAAACATTGCTTTTATGTTATAGTTTAAAATTATTTATTTTCCGTTACACAATTACATTATCTGAAGATTTATTTGGCTTGCCTTTCTCGACCTTTCAAAAACTTCTTCCAAAAGATATACGATTATTAGACTAATACTGACTTGTTTGATCCACTTTTTCCATAATCGCTGGTATTGAATTTATGAGGATAAAATTTTAGATTTACGCTTCTGCTCAGAATATGAAACATTTTGTAACTTTGCTAAAAGTCGACGGTTTGATCCTTGGAATGAACGTTTTAGATGCTGACCTCACTGTGCTTATTAAGCACTCAAGCTGTGCGGCTTCAATTTCAACAACAAATGCCAGGTAAACCGGTAAGGTTTATGGACGTTTAAAGTGTTTAATAATTAATATTAAATTAGAAACATTTTATTCGAGGAAATAGTTTCCATCGGCATCTACAAACTTTACGCACCGCGTTACAAGCTCAGTTATACATTTCTTATGAAAGTGTGGGTCCCGAGACTTAAAAATAAATTTAGCTCATTTTCCAGGCGGTTATCGGACTCCCAATTGCGCATATGATGGTTAATAGTTAAGAAAAGGATAAAATCAGATGGGGCCAGACGTACGTTTACGTGGCGAGAATTTCCAACTAAGCAGCAATATCATCCCCTATGCCATTCTGGCTGTAGGATGTCTCGCGTTCGCCTGGTGAAATTTACAACTTTTTTTATTCAAAGCAGGTTGTTCCTGAGCCAGGACAAGAGAAACTCGTTGGAGTTAGGTTGAGTAGTTTTCTCCGGTGATGTTTTATCCATTACATAGAAGTTCGTAGTGCATAATGCCTACCAACTCCACCAAACATAACGGATAACCTTTTGTTGGCAAATATACAATTTTCTCATCAATGGGACAAGGTCATTTGGTGACAGCCTTGATGACTGTACAGGATCCAATTTTCGTCTCGTGTGTCAATCCGTCGAAAAAGCGTCATTGTGTAGTAGTTGGCAAATTTTACGCGCTGAAGCTGGTAACCGTCGGTCAATTTATGAGGAACCAGTTTCTTCAGCTTTCAAGTCTTCCCAAGTTGATGTAAGCGAGCACGAATTGTTTCGTCGCTTACTTCGAATACTTTGGCAATCTAGCGACATGTTTGATTTAAATCAAGTTGAGTAGCTTCCCAAAATTCGTTGTCATTCAAGCAGATCTACTCTGGTGATCTACCACGGTTCATTCATTCCCAGAAACACTTTATACTGCTAACAACTATCTGAACATTTTTGAGCAATGCACTCATTTATTGTTTTATCACAAAACGCAGTGCAAATTTTAAGAGTTACTTCGGCATTTTTCTATATGGATTGATGCATTATCCTAGTAGTATTACGTAATTTAAACCACTAATATTCTTATGTAAATATAAAGTTGATTAACGATATTCCAAAACCTTAGGCAGTGGCGGGATTCGAACCCTGGACCGCTAGCTTGGCAAATATTATAGGTTACCTAAATCACTCGTTTACCAATATAATAACTGATAATCCATAATATTGATAAAAAAATGAAATATGATCAGTCAGAGAAAATAATAACGATTATTATTATGATAAATGTCAGGTAAACTAATAGTTTTTATTGTTTATTTAATAAGGTTTAGTATTATGTATTTTTGTTTTCAAAACGGTCACGAATTCATAATCGATTGTTTATTGATAAATCAAGACTTGTCGAGACTTTTTTCATTCTATTGCATTTTAATACTCTTAAGTACTTTTAATGACATTTTGAAATAATCTGTGTCAGAAAAATATGACTTACCAGATATTCCATCGTAGGTCCACCACGACTCCCAAGTGAGCCCCAACACTCCTGAAACACCAAACGTTTTTGTAATAAATTTTTTAACACACCATAAGAACAACTAACAAGGAAATGAACGTAAAGAACTATTCATTTAAAATGAAGTGACTGAAAATAATTTTATCATCAAATGGCTGGAAGGTCGTCTTCGATGTCGCATTGTTAATTGGATATCAGGTATTTTCGTCATTTCTCTACATTATTTAAAGAAAATCCCATTATTGCCCCATCAGTGGGAATTCGACTATTTTACTGTCCGAATCTCCGAAAAATTCCATCATTTGAATGTCCGGCTATCAAACGATCTAATTCGGCCAGGTTGCCTTCGCCCCAAAACCACGATACCAAATTACCCTCCTCCACCCATCATAACTTTTTACTGCCCTTAGCAATCACAGAGGGTTTTTTGTTACAGTTTTATGGTAATTCCTGTACCTCGGTCTGTGGTTGGAATGAGCGGTTTACGAATGCTGAAAAAGAACCTTTCACTGGCTTATTTAAAACAAAATGAGATACCAAAGAGGTATTTTGAAGTCAGTGGTGTTATTGCTTTTTTTTAAGATTCCTGTTCAACACTACAATCTAGAAGAACTGGTCGCGCAATGTCGCTATTAGCTTTTTTATAAGCTTTATTAAAAATATTATGTATTCCGCAATATGATATTTTGCAATGAAAATTAAAATTTTTCCCTAGATCAGAAGAAAAGAGGTTCAAACTTTAACTCGGAATAATTACCCTACCCTCACAGCAGGTAGCAGTAGCTAATTTTAATTCCGCTTCTGCCATTTAAGAAAACTAAACAAAGGATCTTTTTTCAGTTTCATAACTACTTATAAAACAGTTGAATTGACTAAATAAGATTCTCAGCGACAAATGAAATGGCCAGCCGAAGATCGTGGGTTGGCGCAGTGAAGTATATCTTCACTAAAGCTCTCCGTGGCCATTTCATTTGTCGCCGAGAATCAAATTGATTACACGACATTTGAAAAATGGCAAAAAGGAGGAAAATTTAAAAGGTGGGGTTGAGATGGGAAGTTAGTGTCCGAGTGGATCGAAGTCATGTTAGCTCAAGTGGTAGAGCAGCGGCGTATTTACCAGAAGGTCGTGGGTTCGAATCCCGCTCCTTTTTTATCTCAACCAATATCTTACATAAAGATTTGATACAGTGTTGCTAGCCAGAGTTAGAAATTAACTAACTGCTTGTTCTTTTACTTTTTTACTGGATTCATATTGATCGTAAATTCTAAAAGTACTACTGTACTATCATGTTAAAAAAAACATTAAGTTCTATCATTTCTATGTTCGGCTCATTTAAAAAAAAATGTTTTTTTTCCTATTATGTCATATTGGTTTAATCTGGCGATTTTCTCTGTCACTTCAAAAGTCAGCGGAAGCTGCAATTTTGTTTTGTTTATTTCGTTATGTAACCTATATATGTTTATAAAAAATAAATTAAAAAATGTTTTCTCGTGTGCCTATGGCTAATGTAATGTCCGAACTTACGAAGATTTATTGCAGGTTTTATTCAATACGAAAAATACAATGTACAGCGGTATACTAAAGTTTATTCTATTTTGGAAAACTATATACATACATACATCAAGAGCACCAATACACGACATCGAAACAAATAAAGAAAAATTATTGTACTAGAGACCTAAAAAGGCAAAATTTACAATAAAATATCAATTAAAATCCTAGGTTAGAGGTAGATAATGATGAATCAGCGAAGTTTGATCTTTCAATTCTTTTTCTTCTCAAAAAAAAATTTTTTAGGAGGCTGCTTTCTCTGGTTTTACAACTGCTGGAAATTGTTGGGGAGCTCCAGGGTTAAGTGAGGTCAGATGAGGCAGCATTGTTTCTTTTTTGAGGATTTGAACTTTGCATTTTCTGGTTTCCATCGTGTTGCCTAGATGAGTCTCAATGTTCCTTTCTCCAATAGCAGTGCAACCATTTACACCACCAGTGGTGGACTGCTGACTTACACAGCCCATGGCAGCCTACACCAAGGCGGACCCCGGCGTCATCTTCTTTCCTTCCGGTGCTACTTTTTCTTTTCTTTTTAACACACTTGTTTTGACTGCTAAGATTGTGATAGTTAGCTGCCACACCCCTCATTGCCCGCTAACTGGTAACCAGCCTTGGGAGAGAGGGAGAATAGTGCCCTTTAAGGAAGGTGGATGTGAACTGTTGGTGTGTTTATGTTAGTGTAAGTGTTTTGAGTCGGACGTATAGTTCATCGGTCTGCGTATAGTTACCCAAGCCAGCCGGGGGCGCCCTAGACCCCCACGGCTTGCTGCCCCATCAGAATATGCCGCAGAATATAGGATTTCCTAGGAACGTCCTTGATGCAGTGTAGATGTGAGTGCTAGGGGCACGCAGTTTATCCACATGCCCGGGAATGAAGTACAATAAATACTAAATTTAAAGTTAATTTAGCTTAAAAGCTAAAACATTGCGTTTATTTTGCCAAAGATTTGTTTATTTCGGAAACACCATCGGTAGTAATAATTGATAAATACAAGAAAAACAGAAGAATAAACAGGTTGCACAGTTCTGCTTTGTAATATAATTAGTCAAAAACTTATTTATAATAACTTCGAACTAACAATATTTATCGTTTCCTAGAAGAAATAATGTAAAATTATGTTGTTTTTTGTTATGCAAATAATAGTTTTATCATTTCATTATTTAAAAATTCGTGATTTCGATACCACGGGAATCCTCACATGAATTTACAACTTTTTCAAATTTACCTCTTTTTGCCATATATTAAATATTGCATAATCGGATTCGATTCTCTGCGACTCATGAAGTGGCCACGGTGAGCTGTTAGGAAAATGCAAATACTTAAGTAATTTTTATATTAATCCATATCTATTTTAGTTGGTCCGGTTATAAATCATTAAATTATTATAATTTATAATTTATATTTAAAGTCCTGGGGGATCAACGTCACTATAGCTCAAGTGGTTATAACGTATGTAGTTGAAGGTCGTGGCTCCTGACACTAATTTTTCATCTTCAACTGACTTTAAATAAAATGTATAAATCAATATAAATTATTAATTTGGTTAAGTAGAACCAACTAAAATACGTATGGATTAATGTTTAAAAAATGTCGTTATGTCAGTATTTACATGTTAAGTAGATGACCGTTATGATTAAATTCGTTTCAAGAATGGGATGCTCGATCAGGTAGAAATGGGATCAAAGAAACTTAGCCTTTTTATTTTATCTTACAAGTTCGTGTTTGAAAATCGAAACCTGTTTAGGTGAAAAGCTAATTTAGTACCCGCCTTGAGGATTCATTAAATCTGACGAAATGTCGGCATACTTAGAAAAGTAGTTGTTGTTTTTTTCATATCTACCTGACCGAACAACTCAATCTTCTAACGAGTCAGTATTTATCGATGACATTAAGTTTTAAATTACTAAGCAAATATTATTCTTGCAATGCAAACACATCATAATTAAATGAAATGACAAAAAAGCAAATATTATTTAATAAAACCAATTATCGACATAATGGGATATTGAATAATAGTTATGTTATTACGTTATATATTAAACGTTTTCAAATCAACTGTCTGAATGGAAAACGGTTTGATTTTCGCCCTTAAGAATCGATTAAACGACCAATGACGCCAGTGATTTTCTCAGCGTACTTTATAAATATTCTAGACCTCTCCTCAAATTGAATTCCAGGGACAACTCCCCTGTCGGTTTTTAAATAGTCTGCGCCAGCCCTGCCCCCCCCCTCGGCCGACTTCTTCACAACTTCCTTCCCTTCAAACAGGTGTGGTTCCAATATCGAACCTTCCCTCGATTTTACTCCTGGGAACAAACATCCCCCGGCCTCGCCATGAGGCACTTATACCGCCCTTTTACCCCCGCATCAACCCGGCGGACCGACGGAAAATGGGAAACACGTTGTACGGTTATTTCCATACGTTTTTCCAACTCTACCTCTTCGCCTTGAGGATTGGTATTCAACCGGCTTAGTAGGTTAGACCTCGAAACTGTCCCCGATATCGGGCCACAATCAGCATTTTCATTCTGACTGCATTGGAATAATCGCAAATATAGCAAGTCCGGCTCAATCTAATTTTATAAACGGCTATTTTAATAAACATTTATTCAAACGTTTCGTTCAAATAAATAGTTGTCCCCTCCTACTAGCCACCTGATCAAATATAACATCACAAAGTTTTAAATATATATAGTATAATAGGCGTTCACATCACGGTAAGATAAAGGTGCCGTACATGTTTAAAAACGAGCTTTTTTTAACACCGGCATTCCGGGGATTGATATGACCTCCGTTGTTGCAAACCCCCGTTAAAATAAAAAATGTAATGATGGATGGGTGATGATGGCTCATACCTAGTTTGATATTTCCAATCATTGACTGTATATAAACTGGCAAATAATGGTTAACTTTTTTCAGTCTTTACTTTGCTCCTTTCGGGCTTTTCTTTTTAATCTTCAGGTGCTAATAATTTTTTTTATTACATTGTACTTCATATTACATTATATAGTCAAAAAAAGTATATATATACTTTTTTGACTTTTGACTTTGACTTTTTTTCATTTTCTCGAGAATAGAAAATTCTGATCTTAACTTCTCTTTTGTTTTTACAAACAAATATTTGTTAATGCTATGTTTTACAATAAAATGAAAATATCAATTAGAATTAAACCCACTTAATCCTTAATCAAAAACAAAGATAAATGATTTTTCAATGTTTACTTTTTACGGAATTTAAAGTGTTTATTCAGTCTCGTTCGAATTCTGAAGCAATAAACTGTTTGGTTTTCATCTTTGTTTTCTTAATTTCAATTTTTAAACTTAAAAACGCTACTAGTGCTGAGGATGCTGCCGTGGTGTGGCACTTATTGATGGACGTTACATCAGGTATGCGGCTATTGCCATCGGTGGTACCTACGAACTATGCGAGAGGACGTTAGACGTTTTCGAGAAACTGGGTCCTATCATAGAAGGCTT